AGAGAGAGAGAGAGAGAGAGAGAGAGAGAGGTTGGGAAGGAGAAAGAGGGGGATTGGGAATGAGACAGACAAGGGAGAAAGAGAGAGGGGGTGCGAATCGCCTCTCCCCCCACCCAAAAAAACCACACTCACAAAAACCAAAAACGAGGTATCGAAAGAGATTAAAGTGATGCAAAAAGAGTCTCCTACCTGTTGGGGGTTTAGCAAAAGGAATACCCGCGAACATTGCCACCGGAATTGAAGGTTCAAAAACCACTTTTCCTTTTAGTGTGCCGTACGTTGTGTTGGCCCAAAGGAACGTGTCATTCGTCCCTCCGGGACCTGCTGGCAGATTTCCATTGGTCAGTAAGGTTGTACACAGAGACTGGAGTAGCCACGCTGAAGCCATAATGTCCCGTAGAATGAAGAACGTAAAGACTACAACAGGCCAGTTACGGCTTCTGGTAAATTGTTTTTGAGAAACTGGCTTATGAGTAGCCTAACTCAGAGGTACACGGCTTCTGTTAAATGTTTTTGAGACTCTGGCTTATATATTATGTAGCTCAGAGGTTAACGGTTTCTGATGAATTTTGCTGAGACACTGGCTTATATATGTAGCTAGAGGGCACGCCCGAGTGGTTATAAATAAACCTATAGAAATCCAAGGGCTTCCCCTAGTCATTGAGATTGGCAATCACTTTTTTTCTCAGCACGCACCCAATGTGGGAATCATAATGTAGGCCAAGAATTTCGTGACTCTTTATTTACCCTTTGAAAACAAACCTTCCGCAGAGCTGCTTGAGAATGGGACGCACCCTCGAAGAATCAACCTATTGTTTGCCATCCTTGTATACTTTTATCTAACATTCTCATGCATACGACATAACTTCCTGTTAGCAATACTCTATAAACTCAACACCACTATTCGCACAGTTTTCGACCCCTAGCCTAGTGAGTGTTGAATTGTAGTATATCAATGCCAAAGAATTTAAGTTTTCGATTCTTAGGGTACAGACAGGGTGGATGCGCCTTGCTGGATTTTTCAGCACGTCTTTTTTAAAAATGATTTGATAACGCAACACTCCCAAGATACTCTTATTAACTCAACACCACAATTCGCACAGTTTTCGACCTCTAGCCTAGTATAGTGAGTGTTGAATTGTAATACGTGAATATCAATGCCAAAGAATTTAAGTTTTCGTTTCTTGGCATACAGACTGAGTGGACGAGCCTTTTGGATTTTTCGGCGCGTCATTTTGATGGTTTGATAGCGCAACGATCCCAAGGTGCCCGGTGAGAAAGGAGTGGAGGCGTCTTTCCTTCGAGAGGTTGACATTTCGCCGCTCTTACGTCGCAGCGTGTATCTGTGGAAAATAAGAAAGGTCGTTTCGCCGCAGATTGAATTCGACTACAACTACAACCAGATTTAATTTAGTACGTTGCGAGTATGCCCCTGCTCACCAACTGGGACGTGGAAGTAGGAATCTGACAGTCCTCCAAGTTTTGTACAATGTAAAGTCTGGTCGTTGGTAATGATTCTTGTAGTTTTGTTCGTTATCTATAAATGGCCTGCGTAGATTCTGGAACTCTCAAGGCAAACATTTAAAGTTTCCGACTTTTTTTTATAAAAACGTTTGATGCGGCTCATCTGGTTCATAGAGCGATCGTTTGTTATTGTACAAACTCGTCATTAGATCAAGAACAAGGGACGACGAAGGCGTTTTTCAATGGTTCTTATCTTGTCATGGTTGCATAAAGGGCAACAAGCCCGATGTCGATATTGGGTGCACCGTACAAATCAAAGAAGAAATGTGTGGAGAGTACCATCAACTAATGGACAAAATACTTGGAAGCCAACTTATTTTTCCACTCACCGTTTATTATTAAATTCTGTTTCTGTAGCTTTTATCACAACTGTCATAAAAACATTTTCTTTTTTTTTAAAAACTGCCTGAATCACTGCTTCCGTGTCCATTTTACACGACGTTGTGATAAAACGAGCTTACAAACTTCACACTACACACACTATAGTATGGTAAAAAATTCGTGGCCCAACGTATTGTCAAATCTTTCCTCAGCTATTGAACATAAAGTCTCTTTGTTTTTGCTTAATGACTTGTCAAATTGTCTGAACAAATCTATATTTTTTGTAAACATCTGCTGACTGTATTCTAGTAAATCCCTTAATAAATACTAATTAAAGATCCTAGTGAGTAGTTTTTACAAACTTTGGAAGGTTTAGGGTTGGGACAATATCGCTTTAAAAAGCAAGTCCTTTATTATTTTTTTTAATGCTCGCAACAGCATGCTTATAGAACTCATGTTTTCAGAACCTGAAGTGCATAAAGTGTAGACTATAAAATTAATTTCTTGTAGCACATTTTGCCAGTAAAAAGTATCACTGGTGAGCTGTGACGTAGGCCACGCGCGTAAGTGTGTCTGAGAAGCGGGAAATGATGTGAATATCGCATTTTTTCGTCTGACGTAGATTTGTAATATTATTAATATAAAGTATGCGTATTTATATACGATTTTGAAAATCTAGCCTCTATTATTGTGAAACAATAATTATGATTAGATTAAGACAAATTGATACAAACTGCGGAGCAAAGTATGGGTCTCATTGATTCACCCGTTAAAGAAATGTATTTGAGGATACGCTGTGCCATGAACTTTTGACCGCACTATAATATAGGCCAAGATCTAGCATCGACGCGTCGGCGCCCAGTCTGTCTGTTCACTTATAGGGGGGTGGCCACAATCGCGATTAGGTCGGGTCGAGTCGGGTCGGGTCGATCTGGTAGGTCGGGGCAAGCCAAATTGAGGGCGTAAAGCGGTCATCGTGGCACAAACCGATCGGGTTTGTTTTCAGGCCTGCGAATCGCGGGATCGGGTGGTTTGCAGCCAATTACAACAAGTCCGAGTCACGTTTCCATGTTGACACTCAAAGTGCGGTGGCGTTCTCTTCGAAAAAGTGCAGACTTAGCCAACAGATTTATCCTACTTGTGTGAAAACAATGAAAGCGAATTAACAAACTGTGTTATTCCTATTCTTCTTGTTGAGAAAAGAAAGACTTCTGGGGATCCTTTTTTGGCCGAGTGAACTAGAGCTATCGTCTTATTAACGATCTTTGATAATAGAAAGGTATCGATGAAACTACTGTAACCAGGTTTATGGGATTCCAGGCTGCTGCATCACTGAAACAGGTAATTGCGGAAAGGAGCCTTAGAAGCGATTGAGGTTAAATGTTTCTCTACTTTAACTTCCAGGTCGTCAGGTACAATCGCGGGGAGGTTGTAGTATGCACCGACACCACCACAAAACGACCCAACCCGACGACCCGATCCGACCCGACCTTGATCCGCTCTCGCTAGTGGGCACCTCCTATTAGAAACCTCAGAAACATCCGCGGCTTCCATCGTGAAAACTGCTGATTACTCGAGCCCAAACACTAACAAACTGACAAGATCTTTCTCTGTCAAAAACTGGGTACTCATTACTACCTGGATGAAGTAAGAAAAATTCGTGCAAAGTGATCTTCCCTAGGACCAAACGTCAGGCCCCTAACAGGATATTAACCGACGATCTTACGGTAGCCAGCCCGAGAGCCCAACCACTAGTTCATCGACACCACAGATTATTTATTTACACATATACATCAAGTAAAACATTAGTTGGGTAGGGGTGTGTTGTGTCACTAGATTCCTTTAAACTGTATAGCGAAACAATCCTTAGAAATATATATAAGAAAGTGTAGGTCTCAAAGTAAACGGAAAAATATTTATATCATCAGACATGCCGATAACACAGTTTAAATTGCAGATTAAAAAAAAAAAGACCTTGAATTGCTTCTAGATACTTTTGTAATGGAAAGTGAACGTAAAAGGATATTGTTGAATGTGAAGAAAAGCATAATGAATGGTAATATCTGAACCAAACATTAAAGCCTATTTGTATTCTCTTGAGCGAAGGTGAAGAGATCAGAATAGTTTTACGAAATATCTAGTTTTTTTTATAATTGCAGCTGATGCCAATTGTTGCACACAAATAGAATGAAGAATCGCAATAGCTCAAGACAGATTAAAATAAAAAGAGTCCAATCAGTAAAGATGTACAAAATCCCAATGTGTACTAAAAGAAGGAATATAAAAGTCTATAATATTAAAGTGGTCAACATTTGTGAGGCAGCGTGGTGGAATCAGACTCTCGTCAAAATAATCAAAGTGAAGAAACTTGCGTTTTTCAGCGGGTTTTGGAATTTTTATCAAAATTTTGTTTTTTGGCTCAAAACCTTTCTTGCCCATTAAAGAACTCATTTATGAGTGGATTTTTCTGAAAAATGTTGATTGAAGGAACAAGAAATATAGATTTTCTAGTTACCACGGACTCTTAAGCTAAGGAAATAACTAATCTTTGGCGGCCATTTTCTCACTAATATTACCTCTGAAAGCAGGTGACCCCTACCTCCTTCATTCTCAAATATTCCGACTTTTATTCAAGATAAATGGATATTTTTTTCATCCAAATAAAGACACGTGAACATGCTTGAAGATGATACCAATAACTCTACATGTCCAAAAATTGTCCAGAGCCTGATTCTACCACGCTGCCTCACATTTGTGTACGGCTTTGACTATTAGACAATGACCACAGATAGTGGAATTGAAATAGAGGCAACAGAAATGTGGTTTCTTGGGAGACTTTTAAGAATATCACAGAAAGAAAAGAATTCGAACGAAGAAGAACTGAAAGCAGGAGGCATGACATAGGCCGCTTACTGGCAAGAACATAGGAAGTTACAAGCTATTTCTAGGATATCTGAATTAACATAATTGCTTTAAATGCCTTGCTCTCAGTGGTTTAAAAAAATAGAAGGCAAACTAGACGGGGGTAGACTCAAATTAGCTTTTTTGGAAACCCTGAAATAATGGATGACAGGGTAGCACCAGTTTTCAAAGAGCATCCGAGCTGAGAAATCAATGGAGAACCACCATCTGGTTTTTTAGTTAAGTAAGAGTTTTACGGCGCTCGTAACTGAATAAGGTCATATGAGCGGGCGAAACATATTAAGTTGGTTGCATTCACAACTGTAGTTCATAGCACCGTTAAGTTCGGGTCAACGATCAGAACCGTGATCGCCAATATCTCATATCTGTTTCATATTTGTCACCTTATGATGATTCATATCGAGACATAAGGCAGCGGAGGGGTGTTGTCAGAGTTATCTTTTCATGAAGACTGAAGTATCACTGCAGTTTGCCGAACCTTGATGAATACATTGCAGATTGCAATGTAAAGCGTACGGAACGGATTAACGAGTAAATTTCCTCTTTGGAAAGTGGTGGCACAGAGTTCCCCACGTCGTATGGATACGAAAGTAAAACACGACGTACGGATAGAGTTAAGACAGTGGATAATCACCTACAACGACAGCAGCAAACGTTACTTATAACTACATGACACTGGGCAGAAAGGCAAGGTTCTGATGTTGCTTGATCGACAACGACAACGACGACGACAACAAAACAACAACAACAACAACAACAACAACAACAACAACAACAGCAGCAGCAACAACAACAACAACAACAATACTAACAACAACAACATCAACAACAACGTCATTCTAACTTAATAAATGAACTGCAGAAACACGACAAAAACATTGGATACTGATACCATGATCAATAATAAGGGCCTACCATTAAGAGGATGTATTCGCTTAGCACAGCCACTGTTCCCTGGTCCTCCGAGCTCTGACTATTAAAAGATCGAGACGTAATGTAATGCATCTCGTCTAGCTGTATTCTATAGTGTAAGATACTTCACCACTCGTAACAAAGAAATACATGTGCAGTAAACAACCAGTAGCTGTCCCCACGTCGTTTTTCCCTTGTCACTCTCTCTCCCCGGTAACGATGACTATCTTCCTCGCCACGCCCGAATCGAGCTCGGCACCTTTTCTGAACCAGCTTAGCTACTTGAGGGGAAGAAAGAAAAACAGACGGGTTCGCGTCGTCCCAAAATAGAGGACACATGAGGCTGAATTTTCCACTCTCAGGCTCAAGATACAAAAGCCAAGGTTCGCGTTATCTTTTAGTTCTTCCAGAAAATGACCTCGTCTCCAGTGCCCATGACTCTACGTTTGAACGCAGGCTGAACATAACAAATACCTGAATGCCTGCACACAATAGTCTTTGAGACTGCTCTTTTGCTCTATCATTTATACGTTTCCTCCTATAGCGTGGCCCAAATATTGACATGCCGCGCAAATAATAACATTATCGGGAGCGTTTACGAGAAATCTTTTCACGTTTTTATGCGTATGTGAACACATGAGTGCGAACCGCGTTATACGTCCTGCCTGTGTTGATTTAAATTCAGTGAAGCGTTACAGCGTGGGAGTATCGCAACTTTGTTTTCATGTACAGGATTTGACATCTTTTCTGAACCAGAGTTTCTCCTTCATTGCAGCAGAAAGAAACCAGCCCAAGGGGTCATGCTGCCTGTCAAAATGGGAGGCACGTCGGCCCGAATGTTCCACTGCTGGAACCAAAATACGGAGTCCAAGGTTCGCGTTTATGAACTTTTTCAAGCCCTATCAGTGCATTCTTTAGTTAACCATGACTCAACCTTGAATACCAGCTAATCGCCTGTATGGGCATTTCCTTTTAGTTTAGTATGGTGTTTTACGGCGCACGCAACTGCATACGGTCATATGACGCGCGCATTTCCTTTGTGTTAAGTTTTCACGTTTGTCCCATAGCGACGTTGCTCAGCTCACATTCATTCAACAAATTAATAAACAGGAATTTTTGAAATAAAAATCTTTTTCATCTTGTAAATCCTTCTTTAGTTGTACCCAAACTAATCCTCCACTGCCCTATTGTATTTGGACTTTTGACGTCCTACAATGCGTTACAAAGAAACAATTTGAAAGGGGGGGGGAGGA